CATATATAATAAATATGTTATAGATGCCTTCGATTTTTCAAATTTTTTTAGTTGTATTTTTTAATTATTTCTATTATCCAAAATATGGATAATATGACTGTCGCAAATAGCTAAAGAAATAGTTTAAAATGATTTTGTGATATGATTATTCATGAATGTTAAACCATTTTACAGCTGTTCTGTAATTTGTTAAGATGTGAATAACATTCTATAATTTACTGTTTATTCTGCTTTATTCCATACAATTTTCACAAATGTTCTTAATTGTAAAATCTAATAGAGAGAATATTTTTTTTAATAAAGACCGTTAGTAGAGTTTCTGCAAATCATGAATGGATCCTGCATTCTAAAACACTTTTTAATCTAATATTCAAAAGAGTATTGCTACCTAGAAAAAGGCTCTTTGTAGTACAGAACTTATTTTAATGCTCATATAATGGATGCTACAAACTATCATTAAATGAGAAATGAAGACAGCAAATTTGCTTCTCTGTTTTTCTTGGGACTCTACCTATGAGTTTTACTTTACTTTTTACTTAAGTTTTTGATTGAAGATATTGTAATCGTTCCTTATTCAGTTCTTAGTTAACGGCTATCCATTTTGACGATCTAATTTGACATGGTAGTGTGATATATGTTAATTAACTTTACTATACAAAACATCATATTTTTAGCTTAAAGTTTGCCCTTTTACAATATACATTAAGACTGAAAAGTTTTCGGAAATTCTCATTTAAAATTCGCGCGCTGTATATTTTTCGATATTTTAAGTTTATGTAGTTTGGCAGCACTGTCCTTAATTACTATGCCAAAAATGAGCGCGATCTGTCAGACAGTTCGTTTACGGCAGCTGTTGAAACCAGTTCCCCTCAGTAGTGCGTTGCGAAATGTCTTCGACGGTCGTACGACCGTCCTGAAAGGCTTTGTACCACTCATAAACTTGAGTTTTCGATAAAACTGATTCCCCATAAGCCTTTTGTAGCATTCGCAACGATTCTGCACACGAAATTTCGTTCGAAACACAAAATTTGATGCAAACTCTTTGTCCAATATTTTTTTCCATTGTTTTTTTCGCAACGCACTACTGAGGTGAACTGGTTTCAACAGCTGCCGTAAACGAACTGTCTGACAGATCGCTCTCATTTTTTGCATAGTAATTGTCCTTAATTGCTGCCAAACTACATAAACTTAAAATATCGAAAAATATACAGCGCGCGAATTTTAAATGAGAATTTCCGAAAACTTTTCGGTCTTAATGTACATCGTTCACAACCGTTGAACTTGGTGAAATTGTGAAAGCTTGCTATTAAAATACTTACAATTTTCATATGGTATATTCCTTAATGATAATTCTTTTATACTGAAAAATTGTATATATTTATTAGTTATATTAACTATCTTCTTAGGCAGTTTTCTCTTTTGTAAGTCATTATCTCACTGGTAGGCATTCAAGTAAATTAAAATGTCATCAATCAAATGTTTGAAGATGTTGTTGGGATATACAGTTGAAAGAGTTCTTCCTATTCCTTTGTCTACAATAAGTATTGACTGACATTTGATTCTAGAATAATAATTCTCCGATAATCAAAGAACAATTCATTTAGGAACAGAAAATCAAGTTCCCAGTGTTTCTTCAAGTCTATAAAAGTCATCAATCGTTTTCATGATATTCGAAGAGCATTGCTTAAAAATACGTTCTGCTGATTTTATGTCAATACTTCTTTCGACCTAAATATTATTAATTTATTTATATTTTTTTCTCATACCTCTGAAATTTAATACTTAAGCAACTTAATACTTAAGCAAATTGACAAAAATTATAAAGCTCTATGCTTTTAGAAATGGGCGAATTTACTTCTCGAAGTTATTCGTCAATAATGATAATTAACAGTCTCTCATCTCTTACGTTAAAATGTTAACGTTTGCTTTAAACTTTCATAAGGCTCGAAGTGACTTTTGTTTTCTACGTTCGATGGAGTTGCTGGCCTCAAGCTATTTCTAAAACAACATTAATTAATTTAATTTAATTAATTTAGGTCTAAACAGAGGCATGATGTTGCGAATATTAACGCTTACTTCATATGTAAGCCAATTTCATATTGGTGATTGTTATTCTCTCAGAGAAATATATAGAAAGAGATTAATAAATTCCACTTCTTCTTCATTGTGGCAACTCCTGTACAGTTCACTTGTTCGAATGCGTAAACATTGAAGCAACGATGTGGTAACACTATATATAAAATGACAATGCCTAAAGTGGTCAGGACACGTTTAGCGTATGAAGCGAGAATGATCAGTAAAACAAGCACTTGTAAGAAACTTAATTGGATACCGAAGAAGAGACAGACCAAGAAAGAGATGTCGTTGAGGTGATGTTAAAGAAGATTTAATGAAACAACGCATGAGCGAATGGAAAAAGTTGGCAAAAATTGGTTGAAGAATCACACCCATTCATTCTTCTCCTATTAAATCGAGATCAAAGGATCATAGCGACTTCACAACCTACATGTAAGTATGTTTATTAGTTTATTAGTTGTTCGTCACCGCAATGGTGAATTCATCTATATTTCCAACCAGTTCATAATAAAGTAACCATACATCTTTTTCAATACTTCTCTAATTTTTTAGTTTTCTGTTATTTAAACTTCTTTTATATTCTGTGAGTAATATACTTAGTTATTTTAGCCACTTTTGTTATAACAGTTCATAAATGCTCATTATACATCACATAATGTAATTGATTTTGATATCGAAAGAGATAAGAAAAAAACGTTGCGATACAACGGGTCGAATAATATTAATATTGATCTAAATATCTTTAAAACTAAACTATATTTTACTAATTTAATACTTCCTATCGTACTAGTGTATGGTTTAGGTAAGACTGAGACGAAGATTGAAAAAGTTAGGATTCAGTCGGATTTGTTAGGTTAGTTTCGGTTAAGAAACCAGTCTTAATAGGTTATAATCTACTTTTGGGGAATGCTTTATTGTATTACTGCTAGGAGCCAAAACTACAAATAAAGTTCTATCGGCTGTGGCTTTTCTGAACGGTTGTAGTTCTACTTCGATTAGCCTCTTGTATGGACATTAATTAGACTCATTTTTTAACATTTGAAAGAATTATTAAAATTTTGATGCGCTGATTAGAAATATTGTCGCAATAAACAATCTAAAATATTTCTATTATTTCTAGATTCGTTTAATGGAATTACAAATAAATTAAAAAAACTTAAATTAATTAATTAAATTAATTACATGTAAAATATGATCAAGGCAAAAAATAATACAAGTATTTAATATATTTCATAATTAATTAATAAAATTAATGTTGTAAATTAATTGTTTTTTTAATTTATTTTTTTTATTTGTATGAATTAATACAGAAGCGTTCTTCATCAAAGAAAGATTTAGATATAAAACAACATTTATAAAGAAAAATCCGTTTAAACAAGAAAAAAGAATACCGAAAATACAGAAAATACAGTTCCAGTAAACAAAAAATATCGATAAGGAATGTGATTTCACAACATTTACATTGTGACCGAAAAGTTTCCGGAAACTCTTAAATAAAACGCAAAATTCTTAATCTTCATCAATATTTATTTTATCTCCTTCAAAATATGCTCCATTAGAAGCGATACACAAATGCCAACGTTTCTTCCAATCATCAAAACATTTTTTATAGGCGCTTTCCGGTATGGCTTTGAGTTCCCTCTGCGAATTCTGTTTTACGTCTTCTATGGATTCAAAACGCGTTCCTCTGAGTGGTAATTTGAGGTTGGGAAACAGGAAAAAGTCACACGGTGCAAGATCAGGTGAATACGGTGGCTGTTCGATGGTATTTATTGAATGTTTGGCCTTAAAATCGTTGATAATGTTGAACAAATTGAGGTGAATCGGAACAAGCCGGGCGTTGACACGTCGCATACACAAATTGTCCACCAAAATCAAACGAGCCATCTCACGACCGATGCCTAGCTCTCGTGCTATCTCTCTAACACTCACATGAGGATTTTTGAACACGATTTCCTTTGCCTTTTCAATGTTTTCGTCGGTGGTAGAGGTCGAAGGTCGTCCAGAACGCGGCATGTCTTCGACGGTCGTACGACAGTCCTGAAAGGCTTTGTACCACTCATAAACTTGAGTTTTCGATAAAACTGATTCCCCATAAGCCTTTTGTAGCATTCGCAACGATTCTGCACACGAAATTTCGTTCGAAAAACAAAATTTGATGCAAACTCTTTGTTCAATATTTTTTTCCATTGTTTTTTTCGCAACGCACTACTGAGGTGAACTGGTTTCAACAGCTGCCGTAAACGAACTGTCTCGACAGATCGCGCTCATTTTTGGCATAGTAATTAAGGACAGTGCTGCCAAACTACATAAACTTAAAATATCGAAAAATATACAGCGCGCGAATCTTAAATGAGAACCTCCGAAAACCTTTCGGTCACAATGTATTCTACTATAAAACACGGCTATGGCTTCATAATACTCTAAGTCATAAAAGTATAGTTGTTGTCTGTAGAACTGAAAGGTGTACTGACTTAGCAAAAATTTTACTTATTATTCCATATCATAGAATAAGTGTTCTTAGCTTATGTAGGAATATAAGAATAGGAAGTAATTTTTAATATATGTAACATAGCTCTTAATATATAGTAAAATTATACTTTAAGTGTAGCACTAAAAATATATTTTGTATTTGCTGTTGTGGCCTTTTAATAAATGGATTATATGGATAGAACCACAGCATATAAACAATGGAATTCACCATTGTTCAGATCTATGTCCCAACGCTGGTCACCAATACTACGACATTCAACATTCAATAGGCCTCTGCTGAGGCCTATCTAAGAAATGCTAGTGGATGGACTACAAACTTATATATTATATGAAATACATGATATAGAATATTTTGATCCTCTCAGTGGACAGAACTATTGTGCTGCATGGAATCTTGTACTTTGGTAACAAAAAATTGTGGTAATACTCACCGCAAACATGAAGCTAACAGTAAGTAGCATGCATTTTGCACATCGCATGCCCGAATTTAATTGTAAATCCCGATTGGGCGCCATTTTGAATTTCACCTTCCAGACAAAAAATTTGCTTTGAACCGCTCTTTAATCGTTTTAATCGTTATTTTTTCATAACTGCAAAATAATTTGTTCTAATTAATTTTTGGTGAGAAAATTTTTTTTGTTTCGAAATAAAAATATAATTTAATAGATTTCATTTTCTTTTATTTTAAAAATATTTTTCATTTCACTTACAACTTCACAGCTACAAAGTTTCACAGATACTAAAAAAAGCTTTGGCCACTAATACAAAAATTACGTTGACTATTTTTCCAAGCAACTGTGAAATTGTGTTCGTTGTGTCTTATCAGTTGTGCACAAATTTTTCCCCGTCCGGTGTGAGATAAAAGTGTACTGAAAGATAAGATTTTGCAACTACGAGTACGTTTTAAAAAAGCTCGCAACTTTGCGCAAGAATGTCTCACTCAGTATGAAGTAATGAACTAATGAAAGAAATATTAATAATAAGCATTGAAAAAAAATCAGAAAATAGAAAAAACCTGATAAAACCTAAATACCTCTGCACTTCGCTATCTTTGGTAGCCGATTAAATGACTCCGGTGTAAAACTCGAACGGTCGCAGAGTGAATATTGATTTCACTTTTTCACTTTTTCACTTTTCCATTGCGACATTTTACATTAATAATATATGAAGCATTCGAAAGGTGCCTTGCATTGCAGTGAATCGTCGCATTTTAGTAAAATGCACTACCACTCCATTATTTGTGGCATACATTTAGGCGTTTGACATTGCCCGCTATTTCAAGGAGAGAGATAGACACACTACACAAGGTCAGTTGGTCTAATAACAACTATTAACTTATTTTACAAAAACACGTAAATAAAATATGGTTAGCATATTTGATTGATTCATTGATTAATAGGAGAAAGTGGTCGGAGGTTGTCTAAAAATGGCCGCAGTCATGCCATATCTAAAAATAGGTAATACCACATGCAAATGAGAAATTTTTAGAATAACAAGACAATTATTGTTTACCAATATTATAAATGCATATGAACTGAACACTGAAGCACTAATTATATACAAAAATACTTCAGAAAACTTATTTATTCTTATTTTCACATTTTTTATCATAATATAGTGCTTATTTTACTGTAAGTTTTATTTCATCTATATTTCGACTTTAGTCTAAAGTCATTTTTGGGATGGAAAAGTTATCAGGATATGTTTCTTATTATTCATTTTGGAAATGGGAATAGAGATGACAGTGTGCTGCCATTATCCACACATCAGATAAATGTAAGTCTACCGACCTATGTAAAATGAATGAATACAAAAATGAATCTGTTCATTGTCAATTTGACCATCATTTTAACAGTTGCGGGGCTCATGAAGTATTTCTAAGAAACGTTCTCAAATGAAACTATTAACCAATCCATTAATTTAACGAATGCCCACACGAAAACGCAAATATTCAGAATTTCAACACATGGAGGAGTGGCAGGTAACAAGTTCGCTAATAATCTGATCAAAACTTCCATCTGTCAATACTTCTACATGAAAAGCGAAGACATAACGCCAATAAAATAAAAAAGTTATTTGGGATTATTGGAATATAAATCTCAGTACGTTTGTGCTCTGTTCAGTCACGAAACTGCAGAGTAAAAAAATTAATAAAAATTATTCTAAATCTTATTACAAAAATTTCACATCATCACGTTACATACTTACAGCGTCCGTCCGCAGATGATATGTTCTCTCAAGTCACTAAGGGATTATTAGAAAAATACCTTATAATATTGATTAGCACATGCAAATACTAACGTAAAGTAAGTTTGCTTAAAATAAGTCAGTGTCTTTACAAACTAGATAGATGCCAAAAAGCAAAGCAAACTTCATCTCCTTCCACAGCATGCAAGTCCATAAAAAAAGAGCCCAAGATTGAACGTCATTCAAGAATAAATACATACACTTTTATTTGGTTGTATTAGAAAAATATATTTAATTGAGAAACGAAATGAGTACAAAATATAATAATTTTGGGTAATGCATGATAATCTTCTGAAATGCGACATAGATTGGGGCAGGTTAGGGAGTCATGGATTCTGCATTACCTGGGTAAAATATATATTATATTAACACATTACAGATAAAAAAAAACCGTATGAAGTAGCGTATTTTAAATTTAAGCTGTTCTATAATTATATAATAATATATATAATATTTATATAATTTTTATTTTTTTATTCTCCAGAGTTTTGTAATATATAGCACATATTACATGATGATAGGTAGAGGATGCGACTTCCACACTATGTTTAACATCCTTCCGAGTATTTGCCATCGGTTTTGATATTGGCTGTAAAATAAATATTTTGTTAACATTTACAGGAAATCAGTTAAAGGTTGAGCTTGTAAAAGAAGATTGATTTGTGGCCATGACACAGACCACTTGGAATTCTGGAACATGGTATGCTGATTTAGGAAATTATAAAATGAGTTTTTTATGAATACAGTTCTTCAAAACAAACTTTCGTCTCTTAATACTTCCTAAATGAAAATCATGCAAAAAAGTCAAATACTTCCTGCCTCAAAATGGAATCTGTTGTAATAAAAGATCTTTATTGACTGACTCTTAAAATACATTACAGAAAAGAGTTACAGAAGTTGACACAAAAAGAGTGTTGCCAATGTAATCAAACCAGTAGATACATTTTCAATACTCCCACTTTCAATACTCCCGCTTATTGCGTTGGTAACACTTTTTTTTACTGGCCGATGTGTTTGGCCAGTATAAATATACTGGCCGAGGTACAGAAAGTATTGTTGTTGTTTTGCGTACATTTCGGCCAGTATAGGTAAATCACCTGCATAGTCAGCATCACTGTATACGCACAGATTAAGTTTGCTGTTACTGTGGTAGTAGATTCCTATGTCAGTCGTACCATTTAGATATTTGATTATTCTTTTGACTGCATTAATGTGCGCTATTGCTGATTTCTCAAGATATCGACTTACGTTAGGCACAGCAAAAGCTATATCTGGCCTTGTAGCTACTGCCAGATACATACCATTGCTGACCGCTTCCCTATACGGAAAACTGAATTCTGCATTGGGTACAAAATTGCTCAAATTGCTTGAGCTGTCTGTAGGTGTGGCTACAATAGGAGAATTTTGTATTTTATATTTAGCAATTAACTTTTTAATATAAGATTCCTGATCAATGTAAATTGATCCATCAGCATTTTGATTGATTTCAATCCCCAAAAATACTATGCTTCAAAAGTTTTTATTTTGAACGATGCTTCCAACTGAGTTATCAAATCAGTTATAAGTTTACTGTTTGTTGTAGCTACTAGACCATCATCAATACAGATAGCCATAGTTATAGAACCATTATCACTATTGCTGATGAAAACACAGGGATCATGGTCCGATACCTGAAACCCAAAACTTTGAAGAATTGAAGTAATTTTTATTCCAGCATCTTGATGATTGCTTTTTCTTCTTCTCCTTGTTTGGCACTGCAGTTCACTGTGAACCTTCGCCTCTTTCACAGTTGTTTTCCAATTCATAACTCCGAGGTTTCTGGCGTCTTCGTACACGTTTTCTTCCATCTAAGGTGCGGAGGTTTGCGGCGCACACCCTAACATAATTTGGAAATTGTCAAATAATATAAATAAATTTATTAAATATCTTTACATCAAGAATTATTGTTTATTACATTTTCATATATATATTTTTAAAGATTAAAGTTTTAGCAAAAAAAAAACAATTATATATAATTTTCTATGAAAACTCATTTAATTTGCTTCTCTTCGTCGTTAGTTGTGCTCATAAGTTTGCAGTTCACATTGCAAAACATTTCTATCATATTTCGTCTTTCCCCTTTACGCAATTGCATTCATAAATTTCTGTCATAAGTATGCACAAAAGCAAAGAACAAATTAATGTGGTTTAGCTTAAAATATGAGAAATAGAGATTGGGAATTGTATGAGAGTATTTTTTGTTCTATTCGAATATCAACGACATGTATAACAATTCAACATGTTGACTTGCCGAAGCGGTTAGATGTGCGGTTAAAGTTTTCAGCTCACATCACCATACATTTCTTTCAAATTTCGTCTCTCCCCTTTTAGCTGTTGCTCCGGCGAATTATAGCCGCTTTGTGTGCGGAGTAGCTGGCCGCACATTTACACGTTGGAAGAGTGTGCGATTGTGTTTGATCACTGCATAAACATGTATGGTTCTAAGTACAAACTCTTTTGTTAGTAAAAAGTTGGTTTGATGTTATAAGATATATGTGAAAAGTTGTATTTATTCCATATTGATATAATATTAAACTTATATATAAATTATTTATTTAATTTGTATTAAATAAATTTAAATAAATTTAAATTTGGTATTTTGTTAATGAATTATTAAATGTTATATTGTGAATATATTGTTGCCTAATGCAATACAGTTATTATTAATAAAACATCTTATATATTTCAATTTAGCATTTTTAATTTAAGTGGTACATGTAAAAACAACATTGTAGAAGGGCCGTACACCCTTCTAGATAGAGCACGCGTCGCCACTGATTTATAGCCCTTCCATACGGGAGTTATTTTTATCAATCAGAGCACCAAGGTAGGTAAAGTTGTTTATAATTTCAAAATTGTACTCAACAATTGCTATGCTTAGCGAACTTCAGATATTTTGTTTTAGTTTTGTTTATTTTAAGACTAATGCATTTAGTTTTTTTATTCAATTTCATAAAGATGTTTGATATTTCCCTTTCGCTTCTTGCAATAATTGCAACATTGTTTGCGTACGCACCGATTTGATAAGATTTTGTTGTAAGATTTCCATGCTTTTCAAGGGAGGGAATAGCATAGTGCAGTGTTATTATGAAAAAAAATGTTGAGAGACTATTGTCTTGTTTAACTCCTGAGCTAATCGTTAAAGGTTCTGACAGTCGTCCATTCAGGATAACTTTAGCAGATGAGATTTCAAATATCATGGCAATCAAACGAATAAGTTAATGATGAGCGCCTGCCGTCGCTAGCGCGTTTAGGATCTCAAATCTCTCCAGGCTATCAAAGGCCTGTTTTTACTCTACGAAGAGCATGTGATGTGTAATGTTATGTTCGTAGCATTTTTCGATGGATTGTCGCAAACAAATATTTGATCAATAGTTGATCTGCCGGCTATAATGCCACATTAATATTCGACGACTATGCCGTCTATCGTTTCCAGTAGTTTGTCTCTCAGTATAGTAAAGAAAATTTTGTATCCAACATTTAGCAACGAAATTGGTCTATAGTCTATAGTTGGTCTATTCGAGTTTATTACCATTTTTAAAGATTGGGCATATCTGTTTTTCAGTGTTTCTGCTGTAACGTTATTTTCACCTGATGATTTACACAA